CAGCCATGTTTGCAAGCAATGCCTGAATAGAAACAACAATCATCAAACAAAATCAGTTAACTAAACACGGCCCCAAAAATACATTAGTGCAGCAATGACATTTGTCTATTTCTAGCAAGTTATTCAAATAAAAATGATTGAAATGGTAAGTGAAAATTTAGAAATTAAAATCCGTCAGCACAGATAATAAAATAAAACTATGAGATGTTATAAACGTTAACTCAGTTTCTCTGCATCTGGTTTCAACTCCATATATAACTTCTTTTTTTCCTTTTGTATGGCACCACTTATCATATGGTTCATATATCTCAGTTTCTGCTTTTATCCTTTTCTTTTCTTCTCGCCACTTAAATTCATCCTAAAATATGGTAGAAGTTGAGTATCTCTTCTATCTCCTCGTTTATCCTCTAGATCATTTTTATCATTTATCATACGTGTCACTTTCTCACTTACCTGTTCTTTTTCTTCCTATTTATCTCTTGCTGTCATCATAATACACTCCAGAACGGAGTCTAAGTTTATATTTCTCCAAACTGAAATCATTTGATTAAACCAAATGAGGGAGAAGAAGGAGGGTGTTACCTGAGCAGTGCAAATGTTGCTGGTGGCCTTGTCCCTGCGAATATGCTGCTCCCTAGTTTGCAAGGCCATTCTCAAAGCCGACTTTCCACAAGAATCAACACTGAGCCCAATGATCCTTCCGGGTACCAACCTTTTATACTCTTGTGATGTGGCCAGGAACCCAGCATGTGGACCCCCATAACCCATTGGAACACCAAACCTCTGAGTAGACCCAACAACAATGTCCACCCCAAGTTCCCCAGGAGGCTTCAACATAGTTAGAGCCAACAAATCAGTCGCCATAACAACCTTAACTCCATGTGCATGAGCCTCCTTAACAAACTCCCCATAGTCCAATACCTCACCCTCAGTTCCCGGATACTGAACAAGAACTCCACAAACATCACCGGATCCGTAATCCACATCGTTAACATCTACAACAACAACCTTAATCCCGAAACCAGTTGCTCTGGTCATGCAAATGTCAATAGTTTGAGGGTGACAGTTATTGGCTATGGCAAAGGTCTTCCTCTTCCCCTTGTGAATGTTGTTACACATCGACATTGCTTCAGCAGCCGCAGTTCCTTCATCGAGCAACGAAGAGTTGGACATTGGAAGAGCGGTGAGATCTGCGACCATGGTTTGGTAATTCATGAGGGACTCGAGACGACCCTGAGAGATCTCAGCCTGGTAGGGAGTGTACTGAGTGTACCACGCAGGGTTCTCCATGATGTTCCGCAAGATCACGGGTGGCACGTGCGTGTTGTAGTATCCCATCCCGATATAGGACTTGAAGCATTTGTTCTTTGATTCCAAGCTCCTCATGTGCACCATCATTTCGGACTCTGTCATTCCCTCATCGAAGGTGTTGAAAGACATTTCTTTTCGACGGATGGATTTGGGAATGGTGGCGTCGATGAGGGAGTTGACATTGCCGAAGCCTCATGTCTGGGCCATTTTGGTTAGCTCATCTGATGTGGCAGAGTTGTGACGTCGAGGGAGCGTGTCGCTGGGCTTGAGTGCCTCCACTGAAATGGATCGAGATGTTACATTGCTTGCATGGTGTCTGTTGTTTCCGTTCAAGTTTTCTTGTTTGGTTCTTGCAAAGGAATGAGAAACATACGACAGACGCCGTGAATGGGAATGATCCTTCGTGGAAGAAATCAGCCTCTTTAGAATTGCCCTATTTGCTAGCCTCCTTGCACGTTCCATTTGAATGTGGGAAAGGGAAATAGGATTGGGGTGATCTTGTTTTGTCTATGATTCTAGGTGTGCGTTGGAGAGAGTCTTAATGCAATAGTGTGAGTGTGTTGGAAAAACACCACCCAGGTTTCATCACATTCAAAGGTTGAATTTTGAGTTGGAAGTGAAGATTAGAATGAGTGGTTTGGTCGGTGATAACTCATGTCTCTCGTAGTGTTCATGCGGGTGTGAACAAGAGCATGACGATGAAAAACATCCCAATTGGATTGGGAGATCTTGATTCTTGATTCAGAGACAATGTTTACAATTTGTTGAATGATGCATTATGTGAAACCATTGCTTGTAAATGGACAATATAAATAACTTGGATCATCTGCATCGAGTTTCTCTCTCCAGCAACATTGATGATGACCTTCGGATTAATCTCACGGTGGAGAGGTAAAAGCTAAAGAAATTCTCACATTTTTACTTCGGTCACTCTTTGACTTTTATTTTTGTTCAAACACTCGTATCTTTTCTTAGTAAATATAATTAAAAGGTTCACAATATCGCTGAATAAAAAAATCATCTACTTAACTGATGATTTGTCCGTTCTTCAATTTAATCTCCAAATGTTGAAATAAAAAAAAAAACTACAGCTTATTGAGAAATTTAAAAATATCGTAAAATATTGCTCGCAAATTCTAGTATTTTTTTTAATTTTTAGTATCTCTATTTATTTAATTAGTATAGTTACTCGTGTCATGCGATGCACAAGAATATTTGAAAATTATCAATATAAAATAAACACATTAAATTAAATATCAATTAATAATGTTCACAATTTAAAATTATATTACATACTTATATTGTAACTAATTAAGTCGTATTGATTTAATGTTCCATTGCACTGTAAATTACACAGATAAATATGAATACTATATATGTATGATTTATATTTTTTTGAATTATAGGCATTATGCTAAAATTTATAATAATTACTTAAAAGATATAAACATTCTTTTACCGTTAGTATTGACTTTACATGAGAAATAAAGGAATCTACTTTTTTTCGAATTATAGGAAAACGATTCGTTCTCAAATTCACTTATTGAGTAAAAAAAATCATTAATTATCAAGAGATAAAATTTGTTAGTATTAAAAATTAGTTAAAAATTTCAGTTTATTAATTGATTATCAATGACAAAAAT